TATAATTTATTTATTAGGATGGAAACTGTTAATAGTTATTTTTTAACAAAAAGTAGTTTATAATCTGTATTACTAACCGGAGATCGCTCACAGTGTCTTGTATATGAGACTATAACCTCCCATTTACCCCTGAACCCCCAGAACACCCTTATGCTTTCTGATCTATGTGTAACTTATTTTTTGTAAAATTTTAACTTACTGTTGTTAACGTAAGCATGGCAGTATTGTTTACATACAAACTTGATTGACTAATCTAATAAAGAACACCTTGACATCAAACTTCTGCTTTCTATCCATATTCCATCAATAAAATTCTCAAATAATAGTAGCTAAATTAATGCCTTACTACACCCAAAACAGTTTTGTTTGCAGATATTATTACAGCTCCTGTTTTATAAAAAAAACCACAACATTAATCATGAAACAAATTTTTATATGTCAACGTGCAAAAAAAATAGTAAAATTGCTTACCTACAAGCGGTGAACATTGAGTTCTTATACCGACAGACAGGAGCGAAAGTCCCTTCCTTATAACATTCATCTGAAAAGGAAAAATCCGTGAGAAAATTCGTGCGAAAATAATCTCTGCATAGAGAAATTTTCCAATTTATTGATTCACACCTTAATGTTTAATACACTGTATTATAATATAGCATTGAACTGTGTTCTGAAATGTTTCGCTACATAAAAATGCTTTAAAAGTGAAATTTTAGTTCCAACATAACCTCAGCAATTCTAACCTAACTCGTTGTTATGACATTTCTGATTTTGACATTAATAGATTGTCTATGAAATGTAAAGTTTAGACTTTTTTATTTATTTATTAAGGCTTTGGCAAAGCCATCAGCCTAAACATAAAGTTTAATTATGTTTCTGTAATAAAAGGAGGATAGGCAATTTGAGGCGGCGTGCTTGGATTGACTCGGGATTCCTTAAAACGGGCCGATACGGGTATTTTAGTTCGAGATTCGTATAATTTCAGGTTTTAATCTTCGATTAAGGCACAATAGCACTATCCTATTCCACTTTAAACTAGATTTCACAAAATAATTGAAAGTCAAAATAAAAACGACACTTTTCCCTCCAAAAGGTCCAGAGCAAATCTAAAGTTTAGAGGATGGAAAAAAAATAAAAGAAAGGAGCTGCCCTAACTACGGAATGAACGTGCATACCTAAACAAAAATTGAATGAACAAATGGCGGATTTCTTTAGTGTATAATCTATCGATAAGTAATTATCGACATGCAAACATTTAATTAAAGTAGATCACTAATCCATTTCGAAATAAATATTTAACCTGTATATATATTTGTAATGTATATATATGCAATATATATATATATATTGCATCTACTTCAGGACAAGTAGATGCAATATATACCGACTTTTCCAAAGCTTTCGATAAAGTTAATCATCGTATATTGATAAATAAATTAGCTCACTTCGGGATTAGGGACTCTCTACTTCAGTGGTGTCAATCATATTTGAATAACAGGTGTTCTAGAGTTGTAATAGATGGTTATAGTTCAAATCCTTTTATTTCATGCTCTGGAGTGACGCAAGTTTCAAACCTTGGGCCATTGTTCTTCATTATATTCATTAATGACATTGAAAGGTTGTTTAAGAACTCGATCTGCTATTTGTTTGCTGATGATCTTAAAATAATGCGTGTTATTAAAAGACTCAAATTTGCTGATTTGTTGCAGGCTGATATTGATAGACTCATTGATTGGTGTCACATTAATAAAAATGTATCTGAATTCGTGTAAGTGCTCCCATGTTAAGTTCACATTAAAACGTAAGACCCAAGACTTGGGTGTAGTGGTGGACTCCAAGCTTAAATTTTCTATTCACATTGACAGTATGCTGGCCGCTGCTAACAAATCACTAGGATTTATTTTTGGAAATGGAAAGGAGTTCAGGAAAGTTTCCACTACCTTATTACTATTTAATGCCTATGTCAGAAGTAAGCTTGAGTACTGTAGCGTTGTGTGCTCCCCGACATATCGAATCCATGTAGAGACAATTGAAAGAGTTCAAAGAAGATTTCTACGACACCTGGCGTACCGCTTCAGCCCGCGTCATGACGTAAACTGTTACAGTGCCCGACTTGAGCACTTTAACATGCAAACTTTGAATGGTAGGAGAAATACTTTAGGCTTATGTTTCTTACATAAAATTATGAACGGCATGATAGCCTGTCCGTCTATTCTCAATAAATTTGGTTTGCGAGTACCCCCCACGTCCGCCTCGACAGCCGCGTCCTTTATTTCATGTCCGTTTGTGTAGAACGAATGTAGGAAAGCATTCGCCAGTCCCCCGCCTATCTAGTTTATATAATCGAGTGTCCGGTGAAGATGAAACTGTTGATATATTTTGTGATACATTATATAAATTAAAGGATAGAACAATGTTGTAGCTTTAGCTTAAGTTTAATTTATTTATTTATTGGATTTAAATTATTATTATTATTGTTAATTTTAATTTCATTTTATCGGTAGAATTTTTTTTTTTTGTAAATTTAAGTATACATGTAAGCTTAGAATAATAACATACATTCACAACAACATACACACGAAATACATTGGTCTGTGTCAAACACGGGAATCGAAACTACGTAACGTCATCTTAAATGCCAATTGTGTCCATTTCGCAGTAGGTACATAAGATACATGATATGGTTGTCAAAGGGAAGTACATCAAATGACAAAACAAATGTTTTTCCAAGTGTTTTATTGAATTATTTATTTATTTATTTATTAAGGATTGCCAGCAAAGTTTACAACTTAACGTATACAAAACAATAAATACTTATTAATTAACATATAGTTGCAACTTCAATTATAGGCAACCACACCATGCACTTACATGCTTAGAACTTAGAATAATAACGCATAGAATGATAGTTTCATATCAAACGAACTGTCACAAGTGAGGCATGAATCAAATTCATGTAGGTTAGTTTTAGTAGTAGGTTAATTTTCGGTTAACTATAACCGAAAATTAACCTACTACTAAAACTAATTTATTAATTTATTATTAATAAAAATTCACTAGAATATTTATATAAAAATACAAGTTGAAACGCGTTACTTCCTTGTGGAATGTGATGTTAGTATCTATTTTATGTTTGTCTGACATATTTTTACACTCATTTACCGCACATTTCGCCATTTTTAGCTAACATTCTTGACCTGTTCGCGGTGCAAGTTGACCTTGAGCACTGAAAGCCCGCCCGCTCGTGTAGGCCCATTGGGCGCGCTTCAATTTGCCTCACTTAGCGTGTGCGGACTAGGTTTCTATGCGTTATTATTCTAAGGCTTAGAATAATAACGCATAGAAACCTAGCCCGCACACGCTAAGTGAGGCAAATTGAAGCGCTCTCAAAGGGGGAGTGATTGTGCAAGTTCAACCGCTAACATTGTCGTCAGTCATTTCACGTAAATTTGTCTTGAAGAAAACAGTTTTATTATACCGAAGGAATCTTATTTATATACTATTGATTTAACTTTTGTATCATTCATTACAGCATTTAGTGTATTAAATTAGTTTTTAACTACAATTAAAAAATCCACTGAACAAATAAAAAAGCGCAACATAATAAAAACATCGCAATCAAAAGTTTCCCGCGCTTTTACAAAACTAATCGTTTTTGTAATCGAACCCGCCAAATTGCTTATCTAGGATACCTCATCGCTAACTCAAATAAGTAAGACGTACTAAAAATCTATAAATGTGTTAATTTATTTTATTTTTGCAATAGGTGTAATTTAAATTATCTACCAGAAAAAAATTGTTGATCAAACTTGCTTTATTTAAGAAAGTAAAATTCGCATTCACGTGAATACCCACCGTTTATTTCTTGCGATGCGCGATGCCTGGAAGCAGCTACCTAGGAAGCCTATATACATGTCAGTGTAATTTGGGTATTTGTCCGATATGGCGATACTTCGGTGTCTGACTTCATTGTGTCCCACTGCTGGGCTCGGATCTCCTCTAAGGAGAGGGTATCTGTCTTGTGAGTACATATAGTGTTCTATTCTCTGCCATGCTTGTCCAATACGACTTCACACGTTTCCTAGAGTTGTGAACCTTCTTCGACTTGTAGATTTCGTCACTATAATTTTCTTCCTTACTCGAGACTCTTACGATTCCAACTAAACATTCATAAATGTTTGCAACTTAGTAATTAAAATTATACCTATAACTTTAATTATTACATACAAGCTGTGATCTCTCAATTGAAAAGCAACAATCTCCATTTGGGCTATCAGCACCTCATAACACTATACTCACAAACCAGCACCGTATGCAACTAATATGATTATATTACTATATAACTATTATGATTATATAACTTTTTACGATGAAAAAAAATCTAAGAAAAAGTGTAACAAATGTTTACTTGCCAAGATAAAATGTAGTTTAAAATGTGTTTTACTTATCGGAACACTTTATGTTGGCGAAAAGGGCACCGTCAACAATTAAACAGAAGAATCATTTGACTGCCATTTCTAACTATTGTTTTCTATTATAGATAAACGTATTTAGGTGAGTATGTATTGCGGGTTTGAGGAAACATAACCAAACATTCACAATCATACTTTTCGAACGAAGATATAACTGGTTATGATTTATACTTTAGATCAATAGAATTGCATAATTTTCACACATAGTGTGCATAAGGTCTTGAGTACGGAATCCTTGCTTGCAGGTATTATACTCGCACTTGGCGGGGTATTTCTTTTTATTTTGATTTTGGGCCCTCGTTCGTTTTCTTTTAAAAGTGCAATGGACTGGTTCCATTTTTACGTTTTTTTGTCAATTTCAGAATATTGTGAATGTTTCATATTGTGTAATTGACTGACTAAAATAGTGTATGTTATAGTACCTTATGAAGACTTCTTATCAGAATCTCACGGTTTATGAAATAATACACAGTGCGAATCAATTTGTTGACAATCAGTGGATGTATCTATAAATAATTTGTGAATGGATTCAAGTGCATTCCAATTTGGTTTTCAATGTCTTTTTCTTATAAAAAAATATACAGTTAAAGAGAAAGTTAAGTATTAGAACTTGTCGCTGTGAACGTCAGCAAAGGTATGTTACAAATGACTATTACCAATTTTAACTGTAACACCACTCAGTACTTAGTACCTCATTGTTTAAAAATATCACTTGCATTCATTGACTTACAAATAAATGCATTGCATAGAATCATACAATAGTATGACTCTATGCGATTCTGTCTCAGAATGAGACTCTTTGTGGCTTATAAATAACGTACGTGACGTAGGTAATGTGCTCTGGTATGTACCTACAGCTGTAGTTTTTGTAGTATGTATTTATATTTAATGCCTTAATGTATTCCATCTATATTTACAAGGCACAATTTCTTAAACAAAGTCTAGAACTTTAATTTATTATTGTAGAAACAAATAAGAGAAATTAAATAACAAGTTTTTAAGGAATTTTAAAGAAAGGCAGAATTTGATCCAGCCTCTGAATTACTTATTAAATAAATAGTCTTTGTAAAAGTTAACAAAAGTTTAAAATAAAATTTCTTAATGCCTATATATAGATGTTACAATGTTATTTTTCAGTGTTATTACAATATTGACAAATTTTTACTTGCCAATTTAAAATGTAATATAAAGTGTGTAAGATTTTAACTTTGTATGCCTAATGTTTGACCTGGCAAAGTGCACTTATATAAACTTATTACTGCTAAATTTAATGCAACCTGCGCTTGCACAAATAAATGAGTTCTATATTATGTTTAATGGAATAAAGACTACAAAAAGTTGAAATAACATACCTATCTGTAACATGCAAAAGTTATCTTAAACACTTACACAGAATATTTATAGCCAAATACGAACAAGTTTCATTTTATGTATGCCATAATTTTATATTTTTTAAGTTGGAATTTCTGTAACATAACACAAATAAGCAAACAAAGTTTAAATACTTTCAAAATGACTCCTGTGTTAGAAGCCTTAGGTGCAAATTGGCATGTAGAGGAGAACAATAATATAATAATGATAAACAGTTGGTATCAGTTAACTAAAAAGTAGCCAATTATCCTTTTTGTGGTGCAGTTTTGTTCCAGGTGCTGCAAGCTCTAGACTTGTCATTTGGAGTTATATTAAAAGAGGCTGTTTAATATGGATAAAATCGTATTCACTGTCAACGGAGACGAGTATACTTTGTGTAAGTTTTTATTCTGTTCTTGATAGATATCTTATAAAAGTACCAAGAACTTACAGCCATGCTTGAAAAGGCATAGCAAGTAGAGTAAGTAAAAGATGTATATCAGGTGCATAGAGTTAGGATAGCCCTTGTCTCTGCCTGCCCCAATGAGATATAGACGTAGTGGTATATATACTGTTTATTTAATCCTATGTTTGGCTTATGTACCCACATTTCACCGCTAGGCACTGTTTTTATAATTAACCATACTACTGGCCCATGTTAAAAACGTTCAGGTGTATATGGTTTACTAAAACTTTTCCTTAATTATATCTTGGAGGCCGAGGCAAAGGCCATTTAGTGTGTGAATTTTCGTGAAATGCGTTATCTATTATAACCAGCGATCGGAATTGAAGGAGTTAACTTATCTAAAGTATGAAAATTTTCTTACTATTGACATTCCTACCCATTTCACCATCAATGCATAAAAAATTTATTTTTTACTGTTTATGTTCTAAACATTGCAAAATGTGGGATATCTCCTGTTTATTTTTAAATGCCTAAAGTAGGTAAGGGTAAAGGTAGAAACACAACTACAATAGACAACAATTCCTAGCAAATACTTAATTGGAAGTAATGATTTGTCACCAATGTACTCAAACGTCAATAAATACCTCGCATATTCAAATATAATCAGTTCCGAGAAGTCCCGGGAGTTGTACAAGGGAATGTCCACGTTATTCTTTCGTTCTTCGATTATAAGGCTGCTAACAGACTGACTGCATGTTTCCAGTTAATGCGTAAAGTCGTAATCAACTTTATACAGCCAAGACCCCGACTGCATGAAGTTGATTAAGACTTTACGCATTAACTGCATGCAGTCGACCTCGGCTGTCTGAAGTCGGTTTCGACTGCGTGCAGTTATTGCGTGAAGTCCGTTTCTGAGACCTCGATTGCATGAAGTTGATAACGACTCTTAAAATGAATTTTACGATGTTTGCACCTCAATATTATATTGGAAAACTTTTAATGTGTAGTGTTTAATGTTTTACATTGTTGACCCAAATACCATAAGTGTCGTTCTCATGACAGTATAATGCCATAAATGAACCATACCAAGAAGGGTGGACAAACATGTTGTATATAAGCTAATATTTTTTTTTTAATCAAGTGACGAGACTAACGAGTCGTACGCCTGATGATAAGCTACACGCCTGTCCATAACAGTTGCAGTGCCACTAGGAGCTTTAAATCGCAAAGATCGGAGGGGCACTGCCACTGCGCCCGTCACACTGGGACATAAGTTGACAAGTCCCATGTGCCTGTAATTTCACCAGCACCCTTAAGGCCCATTTAGATGGAGAGAGTTTCTCGCACGCTTCGTGACGAAAACTCGTAGGCGATTATCGTAAGCAATAATCGCCATAAGATTATCGTATCATAATGTTTACATTCAGGCAAGAACTAAAATCTCGCCTACGATTATGTCATACGAGATTCGCAAGCAACTTAATCGCTTCCTCGACTGTTTACACGGAGAAATATGTAGTAAGGAGATTCTTGCTTACGAGTTTTCGACTTGTCTAAACACGATCCCGTATGACATTTTTTTCAAGTTCATACGATTATCGTACAAATCGGTTCGAACCGTTTTGAGTGCGAGAATTGCCATTCGAGTTCAGTGATTACTGCGGTATTGACTATGGATATATCAAAATGACGCAAAAATCATTCAAATTTGAAACTGCTGATAATATTAAGTTCATGGCACTGTATAGAAATATATTTTGTATTATAATTTGTTTGTAATTTTTTTTTTAATTTTATAACTACTGACACAAAGAAAAACTGACAATTACGATAAATTTATAGGGCGAGTGAGTGCGTGATTGAGTGAGTGCGTGCGTGCGTGCGTGCGTGCGTGCGTGCGTGCGTGAGTGAATGAGTGAGTGAGTGAATGAGTGAGTGAGTGAGTGAGTGGGGAGTGGGTGAGGAGTACCTATTGAAAACTGCATTTACTTGAAAAGTCGTGTTCGCCATCTTGGATTTAGAAATAAATGCTGTATTCGTAATTTCTATTAATTCATAATAGTTAATTCGTAATAAACACTCCTCACTAACTCCCCACTCACTCCCCACTAACTCCCCACTCACTCACTCCCCACTCACTCACTCACTCACTCCCCATTATTTGAAAATATTTTTTACGCTCTCGTTCCATTAATTATTGTCTTATAAAAGCAGTGATAATCAAAACACCCTCGCGCACTGCACGCATGGTAGAAACGGCTGGCACAAAAACTCGAAATACGATTTTTGCTTTCAAGTTCTGTTTACACGGAGACGTTCAACATGCAAAGGCGAGGCGATTATCGCTCACGTGGAAGGGCGATAATCGCGAATGTTCAGACGAGGAAAGTTTTTTTATATTCTTTTGATAATCGCATCTTCGAGAAGAGAAAATCTCTCCATCTAAATGGGCCTTTACCCTTCATAAGGTGGTAGTAGGTACTTCCCTAGACAAACACTTTCACAAGGAGCTCTACAGCCACTAATCTAATACTAAGGGTCGTATTCCAGAACTCTACTCAATACTCAAGTCAGGGCATGAGTATTGCAGTGAGCACTGAAAATCATACTCCGCATATATCATACTTAAGTCAAGGGTCGTATTTCCGGTGCTTCGAATCATACTCAAGTCTGCTCAAATCCTGACTTGAGCATTGAGTAGAGTTCTGGAATACGAAATCCCTCCCCGAACGATCCGATGCGCTGAGTCTGTTGAGTCTTTCAAAACTTTACTCACTTATTGTAATTACTTTTTCCTTTCTCCTATTCTTACCTGTTTTAAATTTTATGTATTGGTATTGTTATTGTTTTATGTAATCTTACTTTCGTATGAATATTTTATTTATTATTATTATTATTTTAATTTGTGTGAGTGCAATATGTTTGTTATATACGTATCTATTAATTTTAGCCACTATTAATTATTATCTTATAGTTTTTCCTGTTTGATCACTAAATGACACTAATTGCCCCAGATAAATGTAGGATCCTACATATTCAATGTACTCTCCATCTACAGTTAGAGGCTTTTCAGATCTGTTAGTCATTACTTTGGTTTTTGCTTTATTAATGGTTAAGCCTACTTCTTTGCTTTTAGTTGCAATGCCTTGGATCATGTATTGTAGGGAAACAGGATCGTGGAAAAATATTACTAATTCGTCAGCAAACCTTAGATTGTTCAGTCTTTCACCGTTTATGTTTATGCCTCTATGGTTCCATTCGAGGTTTCCGAAGACATCCTCAAGGACCGCTGAGAAGAGTTTTGGCGAGAGTGGGTCACCTTGTCGGACTCCTTTCTGTATGTGAAATGGTTTTCCCAGAGATTCTAATTTCACCTGTGCTGTGCTGTTAGAGTATATGTTTTTTATGATCCTTATGTATTTCTTTCCAATACCCTGCTTTTGTAGCGCTATCCAGATGTGATTGTGGTTTATAGAATCGAAAGCTTTATTGTAGTCTATGAACCCTATGTATAGTGGGTACCCACATTCTTGTGATTTCGCAATAACTTGTTTGATGGCGTGCATATGGTCTACGGTGGAGAAGCCCGACCTGAAACCTGCTTGTTCTTTGGGTTGCTCTTCATCTAGCCTTTTCACGATTCGGTTTATTATGATCTTAGAAAATATTTTGTATACGTTCGACATCAGACTTATGGGACGGTAGTTATTCATGTCTCCTTTCTTGTGTATAAGTATGACGGTACTGTTTGTCCATTGTGAGGAGATAAATTCTGATTCGAGTATGGAGTTGTATAAGTTAGTTAGACTCTTGACCGTACCTGGGAAGTTGCTCTTCATTTGTTCATTTGTTATACTGTCCTTGAAACCGATATTGGTCACTCAAAGACATATTTAAAAACAAGCGCTATCCAATGGCAGCAAAGAGAAAGGTCTTTAAAATCTGCATCCTCCCAATTTTGACCTATGGATACCAAACGTGGCTATTGACTAGTAAACACCATCAGAAACTCACAACCTGTCAAAGAGGAATGGAGAGAAGTATATATATATGGTATAGGATTCTCTCTAAGAGACAAAAAGAAAGCTACATCCATACGATGGACCACTAAATTGGAGCATGTGACCACAAAAAGCAAAACACTAAAGTGGAAGTGGACTGGCCACATGTACAGATAAGGAATAGAAAAGTGGACAAGAACGGTAACAGAATGGTTACCAAGAGAAAACGCCAAGAGGAAAAGAGGTCGTCCCATTAAAAGATGGTCCGACGACTTTAAAAAAAATAGCTGGACCTCTATGGACTAGGCTGACAAGGGACAGAGCCAAATGGATAGAGCTGGGGGAGACCTATGCGTCTTCAGGATGCGCTGTTGTTATAGTTTAAGTAATTTATGAATATAATTGTCAATATAGTTGAATTTCAGTATAGAATAGGTTAATAAATAAATAAAAAGTTTTTCCTGTTACCCGCAGATTGCCTGGTAGAGATTTCTGTGTAGCATTAAGGCCGCCTATTGTCTTATTTTATTTTCTTTTTATTGTATTATTATGTATTTGTCTCAGTGTACAACAAAGAATTTTTTTGTATTGTCTTGTATAATAATATTGTGATGATGATCACATTGATTACTTGGTCTCAGACTAGGAAATTCCCACTAATAAAATTAGCTGTGGGAACTCTACCCAGACTAGAATCATTTTGGACAGTTCTATAGGGAATAGAACCTGGGTGAGGTGTTTTTAGTAGTGTGACAAAGAGTCTAAACATCCTAAGCCAGATACTAAATTTTCTCCGAATAAATTATGTGTTCTTATTGATACACAAAATGCATAGAAACTTAAATTTATTTTTTCTGATCTTAATTTTTGTGGCTGTCTAAACTGACATAATTTTGTACACACTATGTAAGTGGATAGACAGGTAATGTGTCGTAACGTACAGGCAATAACTAGCTACATTTTAATGCATTTTATGAAAATGAATTATTG